CCTAAAATGTCTCATTGAGTATGCACATGATCAACGGTACGCATTTCGGACACATCAACAGCAAAAAGCAGTATTTCGGGTTGCAAAAACACCATATAACCACACCATTGTTGCTTCTCGTAACGTAACACCATCTCCACTACAGGCTACGAACGGAACACATTCAATCACATATAAAAGCAGCAATCAAGTAACGTCATCAACAAAAAGAAGACGTTCGTCTTCCTCAGGATCCTCATGCTCCTGCTCCAGCTCATCTACCACATCGACAAAATCACTAACACCATGCAAATAACCACAACAAAATAGAAAAACAAAAGAACGACACCCGGCATTATCATCTAGTTTAATATGTGTAAAATCATGTGTACCACCGGTACGTACCGTGGGAAAGGCATTCGCCTACGCAACCTAGACTCTCTTTTCGAGAACCAAAGTAAATATGGTTACTATCGAACCAACATTAGAGACTTAAACTGGACGAGCCACCGACAATCACGCAAACAAATCAACCCGCAAAAAACCTTCTTATCCATTTTTCATACATACCTTCCATCTCACGCTCTGGCCCCAAATTTTACCAATGTGGACGAAAACATTTGAAAATACCCCCCTTACCGATGTTCACCCTATTTTCACCAACCGACTAACCGAAAACTGAACTCAAATGCTAATCCGGAAGAAACCCTCCAAAAGCATTTTAAAGCCACCCTCAGAAAAAATCTGAAAGTCAATCTAGCTACATTGGTATGTGCTGCCCAGTGTTTTTCTTCCATTTTTAGTCATAAGGTGCAGGCAGTTCAAACTTCGAGTAAAATTTCTTTTTGCCTTCTTTTTTACATCATCTGATAGAGCGTGAATTGCTAATCCCGAAAACAACGTTTTACTTTACGCAAATACCTTTTTCAGGTCGTAAAATACGAAAAACTCGAAGGATGTCGTTTTTTCAAAAAACACATCCTTTCCAAAATATGCCTTATATTTTGCTTCGCGCTTTTCTTGAGCTTCTGAGAATATCTTTTCGGACTCAGCGTCAAAAACTGAGTATAGAAAAGTTGTTAAATCGACTCCAACCTCAAAAGTCTTTTGATGATGGCGCTCCGAATCACGCCGAGTGTGATGCGTATAGGTCGATTTTGTAAACCTATCTAGTTCTTCTATGTAAACGATAAGGGTAAATATTTTATCTCATTCGACTCATCATACAACCAGTCACAAAAGTACGATCCGTTTTCTTTTCTTGTGTCGAGAAAAATCGTTTATACTGGCATCATGTGAGCAAGGGGAAGGTCATCGTTAAATAAAATGCTTATTTTTTACTCAATTCAAGTGAAAATTTGTTCACATAGGTAAAAACTGATGGCAAATAGAATGAGCATTCTTTTGAGATCTCTAGAGAACCTTCAAATGTCTCTGAAAAACTTTTCCTTAAAAAATCACAATATAACGATATGTGTCAATGACATATTTGTTTCTTTGAGATAATACCATTTTCAGTTGAACTAGATTAGATTGGTATGCGTAAATTAAGCAAGCGAAGAAGTCAGTCAAGAAACGCAAAATCTGATCGATATCCAAATACAAAGGTTTCGGATACAAGCTACTCGTCAAATGATGAATATCGCATGGATAGTGATGATAAAGAATTAACTTTCAATGAGAAACTTTTACTAACCGATATTGGTGCTCTAGCTGAAATGTGCAAGTTGAAATGTGACACGAAATATCTTAGCACTTTACTTTACATGTCGTTACGTTTCTCCAACATTAAATGGGAAGATGTCGATGAGTATTTGAAGAGTATGGGTTTTATGACCGCAGAAAGTTCTCATAAATGGACAACGGTGTTTATGAAGGGAAATTATGAAGAGTTTTCAAAATGATTTACGTGGTGGTAAACAAACCGATTCATTTTATGATATGTTTCCCGAGATTGAAGCAGATGCGAAAGCATTTGTCGTTCAAGCGTGTTCACAAAAGTCAGGAGAATTGGAGAGACAAGGCTTTGGATTTGGCTCAGTTCGTTGATGAAAAATATTATGAATTAACGGGAATTAAAAAACAAATTGGCGATGATTTGATAAGATCGAAAAGAAGTTGTCGTCCGGATCTGCGCAGATGGGGAGCTAAATTCGAAACAAATTCACAACGCCCGTATTTTGAAGGACATGAAAGAGACGATGTGGTTAAACATCGTAATGAATTTATTAATTATTTTCTGGCACATAAAGATTTTTATTACACAGTTACTGATGGTGAAATACCTATGTGGAATATTCTCACCCAAAAACCTCATATAATACTTCTATGTAAGGGCAACAATCGAAACTTTTTAGATATAATTTCTGTTATGCTTTTTTCGTGTTTATCTTTACCAGTTCACGATGAATCAACCTTCAAAAGTACGGAACCTATTTAGGTGTTCAGGCGTTTTAGAGCCCATATTTTGGCCATAGGTAGACCTCGATGAGGTATGAAAAGCCTGAAAAGGATTCATCCCCTCGTGCCCTTGTTCCCGAGGTACGAATTTTCAAGGAATTTTCCCCATAGGATCCAAGATTTCGGTCACTATCTGCAAACACCGTGCATACTTCACGGTGTTTAGCAAAGGTCCGTTTCTCTCCTCCTCAGTGCGCAGGAAGGACACATTCGTAACACATGATGTTAAACGATCGCTCATTATTTACGTTATTACTCCTCGTAACTAAACGATTACGCCGTACGTTCGCGCACCCCTTCATATGTTGCAGGCATAGCTTTCTCTACCACTCCCATCAATTTCAGGGTGACTGTGGCTGTTTAGCAAAGGTGCAGTTCCACCGTTTATCTCTCCTTGACATACATAACTCTCCGGTGACATACACACAGACAGACAGACACTGAACATTATATATATAGATTCGATAGAGAATTTCACGGGCTACAAAATGAGCGATAGCACATTATCTTGGAATTATACTCGACAAATACTTGACAGGTATCTCGATTTTTTTCCTATACTGGGACATAAAAATGATTATATTTTCTTCTACAGACAGCGATTAGGCACAGTTTCTATACAGAAAGATGCAGAATTGAAAGGGCTACAGAATGAGATATAACGTATTCTTTCAAAATATGTTAGCCTTAATCGCAAACAAAAACTGCATCAGCTGAGTTAACCTAAGACTGATTTGAGCGTGGGGCGATTTTGGCTCTTATTGTCCCCCGTCCTTTCTGGTACTATCGCCCTCATGCTTTGCTAACCTTCTAGTATCTAGGATCTAGTCCACTATTACTCTATTTTGTGTAAGTCCTTTATGCTCATCATTTGTTTCGTTAACAAATGAATCAATGCACCAAAAATCTTGTGTCAGTCGCTAGAGATCATCGAGCTCAATAATAACCATCCAGAATGACCATTACAGTCTCATTGATTACTTAGAAAATTATAATAGAAGAAGAAAAGGGTAAGTCTGTCACACTCGAACGGACAGGAAAATAATACTTAGTATAATATTTAATTTTTACCAATTATTATTTGGTAAAATAATAATTCGTTGAGAATACATACTTTAATAAACAACATGCTAGTGTGCTGTTAGTACACAATAGCAACGGGTGGAATTGAGACTGA